GCCTGCTTGACCTGCTGCCACCGCGACCCGACCCCGGATAAGAGGAGATGGATGGAGGAGAAAATACCCGTTTTCAAAAATATTGGTGTTAATGAAAATACTTTAAAACACAGGAAAAAGTAAACATAGTGAGGACGTGTTATGAAATGAATGAAGTATGAATATGTTTAAGTAAAGAGGTTACGGGATGTTGGAGAGGTGCAGCGTCGCTGACGGAGGGAAGATGTTGTTAAAGTTTTTGGATCCGGGCTTTTTGAAGCGGTGGAGGGCGGAGCCTGAGAAGTCCCGAGTCAGCGTCTGCTCCTCTTGCCCCGCCCCCCCGCGGGGCAGCTGCACCACCGGGTGTTTGGACAACATCACCCGAATCATGTTACCATGGAGACGCTGACCGTTCAGGTGACTCATCGCTGTAACAACAACAACAACAATAAATACAATGGTTAAAAAAATACTGAAGAACTGACACATATTTTAGATTTAACTTATTTCAGTAAGTTATAAAACGTGAGTATTTATTTATAATGTTTTGTTTCTTCTTTAAAACGTGTATATTTCCTCGTTTTTTGTTCGTCACAAAGCTTTAAATAACAGTTAAACGTCTAAAATCTATTTATATATCATAATATATAATATATATATATATATATCATTCATGACAGTTAACGCTCATTTATTAACTGAGTTTAGAGTTTCTACATGCAGTCACTTTATACATTTAAATTATTATTTGTAAATATTATTCGTGTTTTTTCTTTGATTTCTTAAATAGTTTCTTTCATTAAATTACTAGAAATATTTCTCATCAACTTTCATTGAACCAGAAATATTAATAATAGTTTAAAATAATAATCTGTTGACACGTGAAAACTATTTTCACTTTGAGATCATTAATTAACATCTAAAGATTCAATAAACAAATCTCTCCTTTTCTTTCTCCAACACGTCTTTCAAGGAAATGCTTAGTTAAATATGAAGGAAGAGGAGAAGGAGAAGAAGGAGGAGAAGAAATAATAATAATGCAGCTGAACCGGTTTGAGAGGAAATGAAAGTGTCGCACCGAGCTGAGCCTGCGTGTCGTCGCTCATCTGAACGAGAGCGTTTTCCTTCTTGTTGAAGAGGATCTTCACTCTCTGGACGTCCCCATAAACCCCTGAAAACACACAAACACACCGTCACACAAACATGATGACCTCAATATCACTCGTAATACTTTATAAGAAGATAAGTTACTTCTGACCAGAACAAAAGTCTAGAAGAATTTATATTAAATGATTTTATATTGTTACTATATTATAATTATATTACCTATAGATCATATATTACGACTATATTACCTATAGATCA